GTTGTTGATGTTGAGAGTGTGATTATTATTATTCACATTATCATTATGGCAAAATAACCCCCACGACTGACACAGTGTGGGGAAAGCCTTCATCCAGCAGCGGATCGGGAATGGCTGGATTAAGAAAAAAAACAGTTTCACAACGTGGAATTCATAGCAACTGTCTGTGGGGTCAAGCCTCCGTCTTACCCATCACTTCACCTCCTACTCTCTCATCTCTCCCCCGCCTTCTCTCGCCTCTCTCTCCCTCGCTCTCCGCCTCCCCTCTCCCTTAACGCCTGGACCCCCGTCTCTAAACGCGGCTCGATATTCTAGCCAGAGAGGTGTCGGGGCTCTCCAAGCGAGTGGAGGACATCACTCGAGGGGGCACTTCAACTCCAGCCTCTTTGATCGGGGACTTGGTCCTCGCGAGAAGCCGGCTTCCTTTATACGAGCACACCGCCGTGTGTGCGTGCGTGTCTAGGTGTGTGTGTGTGTGTGTGCGACACAGAGAGTGTGAGCCTCCCCTAGGTCGACTCAGCCTCAAATTAGTGGTAGTTGGGGGGGGGAGCGGTAGCGACGCGGTTAGTGCGTTGCGCTGCGAAACCCGGCGAGCCGAGTTCGATTTCCCCGCAAGGCCAACACCAGTGACGATTATTTGAATGGGTACTGTGCTTCCTCTAGGTCGGCTCAGCCTCAAACGAGTATCTGGTACAGTGTGTAAACATCACCACTAAGGGGACAAAGGCGGCCGGGCGTGGTGCTGGCCACCCATTCCCCTCGTGTACCGTGCAGGCCTTCATAGGCTCTCGCTAACAGCACTTGCCCCAACAGTCTGTTAAGGCTAAATGGGGGATCTTTGTCTTTGTTTTTTAGCTGTAGTGTAGCGGTTAGCGCGCTGCTCGTCGAACCCCGGCGTCCCGAGTTCGAGTCCCACTCACGGACAATGTCAGTGACGTAAATCTTCAGCATCGCTGCGCCTCCGCTCGCTCGCTCGCTCGACTCTGAAGTGATCACCTTGGTGCGGTGTGCAAACGTCAGCGCTGTGGGGAAACAAAGGCGGCCGGGAGTGGTTCCCAACACCCTCCCTCCCTCGCGTGAGAGTTCGGGCCTTCATAGGTACTCGCGAACAGCACTTGCACGAGAATCCGGGTAAAAGCTATGCGGGGATCTTTGTCTGTGTATCTATATGCGTGCGTTGGCGTGTAAGCACGCTCTGCGTCCTAACATCAGCTACGGCTAACACCCAGTCGCTCCTTCTTCATCAACCCTCACTCGCCGGGGTGGTGAAGTATGGTCAAGCAACCCGTATGACCGAAAGCTGTGGAAAGGCCTGCATCCATTTAGCAATTGAATAAACCAAGGGCTATGAATGATGTATATCTATACATCATGATATCCCATGTCCTCGTTAAAAAACAAACATTTGTAGTTTCAATTGAGCTCTCACTGGGTTATAAATATACGTATACATTCACGATCACATATAATATACGTCGAGGCTACTTGTGTTCAATTATAATAACATGTCAAATCAATATAATACATAAACTAAACATAATCATAATGACATTGTGTCAATTCCATCCCTGGATCGAAGCCGTGGGGTGATTTGAACCGAATGAAAAGGTCGCTCACTAGCCCGTTATCAGTCAATGCGACATCAATATCACATCGATAAACATCATCGAGTTTAACACGTCGGCTTTCGCGATCAAAATTATTCATAATAAAGGTGTTTGGGCTAGATCGCGTTATTTATAAATGTGTCGTAACCCTCCACCACCCGACACGGCCAAACATCATCGACCAAAAAACAAGGATGCATATCGGGAACAGGTTTTTTTTCATCTCTTTTTTTAAAATAAGATTTGAGATTAAAAGTGTAAACAACGGCGGGAACAGCTCAGGTGAAAGGGTGACTCGCAGAGAGGCGAGAGCTCTGTGGATTCTAATCCAGGACCGTGACTGAGCCGGGTTCTCGAGTGTGGAAATTGAGTCAATGGTATGTACGTACGCATGTTAAACTTCTTTCGCACCGTACGTTAGCCGAAAGTGCTAATCAGAGATGCGGGGGATAATGGTCTCAGCCGGGTCACCTACAACTGCATGAGATCGTCGTGCTAAGTTTTGTGTTTGCACCTCCGATTTGGAACAAACGGTGCGAAAGAAGTTAAACAAACAGGGACTCCTCTACTTACGAACGAGTTAGGTTCTAGAGGTCTGTTCGTACGTCTATTTTTTTCGTAAGTCCAACTTTACTCCTGTTAATTCCAAACTATTGTGTAAGGTATGTACACTAAACAAGGAGAGTGGCTTTACAAGTTGTATAATCTCCTCTAGATGTAGAAGCCACTGGGTTTTTATGTTCTGAAGATGTAGATGCCGCCACCACCACCATCTATTGCGTGGCGGTTGAACTTACGACTCTCGGCCCGAAAAGGCAACTGAAAATACGGACAGGTTTGTTCGTATCTCTGCAAGTTATTAAGTCGAGTGTTCGTAAGTAGAGGAGTCCATGTACACACACTTAACTTGCTGAGATATTTGCTCTCTTGCGATGGAGCAATTCTCTCTGTGGCAGTGCGGGTGGGACAATACAGCACCCATCTCCTTTCTCCCCAACTGTGGATTCACGACCTCATGTATAGAGATTTCAGCAGCAGTTATCTGGCATCTCCGTAAAACTAAACTCTTTTGTTTTTATCAAGGTAAGGCCCACTGAGCTATGTAGCTCTTTTTCGGAAGCGACCTAGCTATTAGAAATAATAGCTATTGTTACAAATAATAGCTACAAGGAAGTGGGCTTATCGCGTGGAAATCTATAGCAGCCAAATATTCTAAGCGCACGCTGATTCTAAAATGTGCAGGGGAAAAAAACAGAGGACCCGGAGAAAAATCTACGCCACCGCGGGGAGAACATCCAGCCTACAAATATACAGCAGCAGCAGCAGGCGTCAGGGTCGGGATCGGAACCCACGACCTCCTGTGTACCTAGAGAGGGAGTCAACATCTCTTTGCCACCGTGGCGAGATGTTGACTCCCTCTGTCTGCGGCCGGTACTCTGACGCGGAGTGATGCTAATACCGGATCGGCGAGGAGGCGAGGGGGTTCCGAATGAATATCGTGATACAATTGAGGTAAATAACAACAAAATCGCAACAGTCTAAAATACCGTACTTATTAAAGACAAAGTATTTGGTGAGTCTGTTACCACTGCGTTGCTAGCGGTGCACAGACACGGTTAAACAACACAAACAAACAACAAACTCAACACGTTAGTCAACAACAGTGTGGTCATTAAAATAAATATATAATAGGCGTCGTTTCGGGCAACGGCCCTCCTTCACAGCACACATGGACGACGAATACGTTGACATTTATTCAAGCGTATATTAAAATTGATGCACGACGTGGGTGCTCGCTAGCAGCACTTGCCCCAACAGTCGCTTAAGGCTATGCGGGGGATCTTTGTACGTGTATGTTTATTATATGTTAGATATATATTTACACACACCACGTACTTCTTTACCAAACATTTGTTGAACAAAACCGCACCATTCCAATTGTCCGACGACGCAACCACATCATTCACTGTCGTGTTTCCCGATTGTGCCCATGCGTGTTGTTCGGCACGATGTCCGACGTTTCACTCCACGTGGAGCGCACGCAGCAGCAGTAGTATCATCACCGTGAGCATCATGGTCATCATCATGAGAGCCATGCCAAGGGGAAGACCTAAGGTCAGGTGGCAGGATGCTGCTACGCCACATCTTGGAATAGTTGTAGAATTCGGCAGAGGGAACAGAAAGCGCTCGCGACGGTTTTGGCCACGATGACATCTTGATCTTGATCGTCAGCCATGATCTGTCTACTGCTGGATGGATGGATGATTCGCCATCCCTCCCGGCGCAGCGACGCTGCAAGCATCTCGCTGCAATGCATTACTCCGTTCATAGATCATTGCGCAATAAGACAAAGACCCCCCCCCCCGTATAGCCTTAACAGACCGTAGGAGCAAGTGCTGTAGCACCCGATGAAGGCCGCAACGGCACACGAGGGAGTGAGTGGCCAGCACCACGCCCGTCCGCCTTTGTCTCCCTAGTAGCGATGTTTACACGCCGCATCGGGTACTCATTTGAGGCTGAGTTGACCTAGGGGAGATGCCCAGGACCGGTTCAGACAATCGTCACCGGTGTTGGCCGTGAGCGGGAATCGCACTCGGGACGTCGCAATTCACCAACGCAGCGTAGCGCTAACCTCTGCACCACCGCTCCCCCACCACGCAATAAGCACGCGCACAAAACGCACGAGCGCGCGCGCACTCGTGCGTCGCGTGCGCGTGAATGTGCGCTGGCCGCAAGATCCGAACCGACGGCAAACGAACGTTTGAACTGCACTCGATTTCGCCGGCAACGGGACGTGCCTCGTGACGCGCACGCGCGCGGGGACACCGAGTCCACGGCGCATCTCGCGGGGAGGGCCACTCGGGGGCGAGTTCAAGGTGTCCCCGACGTCACTCGCCGTGCCGTCCAATTGTCGCGGCTCCCACGAAGCCCGGAGTCAAGCCCACCTTGTTTTTTTTTGTGAGTGTGTGAGTGTGTCGGCGTCCCGTGAAAAGGCGGTGAGCGTTGCTCTGGGACGGTGACAATCGTCGAGGACACGACGCCGCAGCACGAGCGCGGAGGGGAATTGACAACTGAATAGTTGCGGCTCAGCATGGATCTGCTTCGACTGCCTGCGGCTGGGGACCGACGTCAGCCCGGCAGAGGGGCTTCGAGCTAACCTCGATTGTCGCTTGGTCACGAGTCGTGAGAGGTCGTTCCTGCAGTCGGTGAGTCGAAGTCGTCACCTGTCGCGTCTTGTCGATCGGCACTCCAAAAGGCGCCCCTGACAGGGACCCGAGAGAGACGGACGTCCAGAGACGCAGTGATAACGAGACACGGGCAGTGAGAGGGAGGAGGGGGGGCGGGTGTGTGTGTGCGTGGTGGCCTCAAAGCGCCCGTTGAATCATCACAGCGATGGACGGAGAGAGCCACGCGTGCGTGATGGAGCGCATGGCTCAATTCCCCGCGGCACCCACGTGCCTTCAGCTCGGAATCCCCGTCTCCTCGGAGCCCATGGGCTACGGCAGCGGCGGCATCGGGAGCGGCGGCATCGGGAGCGGCGGCGGAGTCGGCGGCTCATACCCTGACCCCGTAACGCGCTACCACCATCACCCGCACCACCACCACCACCCGCACCACCCAGCGCTAACAGACAGCGGGCATCATCATCATCACCATCAGCTCCACAACCCTCACCCGCATCACCACCACCATCCGCACCATCACCACCACCACCACCACCTGCCGTTCCCCGTGGACCCCGCTTACCTGGACCCCGCGTACCACGACGCCTACACGGCAGCCGCGGCGGCGGCGGCGGCAGCGGCGGCGGCGGCCGCGTCGGGCCGCCTGCCGTACCACCTCCACGCGGGCTACTCGGCCACGTCGGGGCCCGCGGCGGCGGCGGCCGCGTTCGCGCTCTACCACGAGTACGCGGGCTTCGAGCCGGCCTTCATCCGCAAGCGCAACGAGCGCGAGAGGCAGCGGGTCAAGTGCGTGAACGAGGGCTACGCGCGCCTCCGCGACCACCTTCCTGACGAGTTCAGCGACAAGCGACTGAGCAAAGTCGAGACGCTGCGCGCGGCCATTCGGTACATCAAGCACCTGCAGGCCATGCTGGGGCACGGAGGCAACGCTGAGATGCGCGGCCACGACGACGAGGATGAGGATGACGTCGACGACGATCTGGATGAGGACGACGAGGAGGACGAGGTGGTGAAGGTGATGAAGGCGGCGCACGGCGCGGAAGACGTCGCGTCTGGTGGGATGACGCTCGTGCAGGGAGATGGAGGAGGAGGAGGGGGCGGAGGAGGAGGAGGAGCAGATGAGGTGGATGAGGATGGAGAGAGGCAGAGGAGGAGGAGAAGGGGGCAACGAGGGATGGCTCCTTGTGTGTGCAACAGCGACGGGGAATCTCAAAGCTCCTCTCCCCTGCACTACAGCGAGACGGACGAGGGGCTACACTCGCACTAGAGTTCCGAGACAAAGCACTTACTCCTGCTGAGACTACTGCTGCTGATACTGCTGCTGCTGATGATGATGATGGTGATTAGACCATTTGCTACGTGACAATCAACAGTGGTGGACCTGTGGAAGAAACCGGCCGCCGTCATGGGAATGTGGAATTTCCACCGCTGACTAGGAGCAGCCCATAGAGATGAGTGAGGCTTCTTGATTGATTGAGCGGAGAAAAAAATGTGGCGATTATATGACGATTAGATGATGATTATGACGGCGATGATTACATATACATTTGATAATTGCGTATATAAGAGTTAAACGTACGCGCATGAATTATGATCATATTGGCTTACATATCAGACGTACTTATTCGATGATAGAGATGTTGATGATGCGCGCGAGCACGATTTGACGTTAGACTCCGCCTATTAAAACGTCGCTCCACTCAAGAATGTAAAGAATGTTCAATGTTCTACCTATACAAAGCGACCTACTGTACACACGTGTACATATACACACGTGTACCCACACACACGTGTACACACACACACGTGTACACACACGTGCACACACACGTGCACCTACACACACGTGTACACACACACGTGTCCACACACACACGTGTAAACACACGCACGTGCACACACACACACGTGCGCATTCGCACGCCGCGAGCGTTATATGGTATGCCAACTCAGCTACCTGTGGCTATGTATAATACATAGATATTTCTGCTCTATGTTGCATATAAGAGACAATCCGATTCGATACAGATATAAAGCGAATTGGGTTTGTCGTTGTTGTAATCTATGAATTCAAATTAAAAGTTCCTTTGTTGACGTCTGGTCCTTCTCAGGAAATATAAAGATTCCTGGATAAACTGTTGGTATAATGACCAGAACAGTACCGAAGCAACTGACTTGTGTAACATACAAGTTTCTCATGACATGTATAATGCGTGCGCGTGTGTATTTATGTTTGGATATCGCATTTTGCTCTTTGGCCAAGTTTGGATAACTGCATATACATTTGCACTGAGTCGAATTCCCCGTCTGCCAAGGCTGGGCGTATTGGCATTGTACATTCGTTGTGTCTTTTCCCACAATCGTGTATTGATCGCGCGTGTGTGTGTGTGCGACTATGTTGACGATGGTAGAGAACCCTTTCTTAAATCCGGCTCGTGCTCCATTGCTTTATTGGCCTCCTTTATTAATTTTCTGTTCATGGCTCTAAACAAGTTAATATGTCTATGTCGGCTTACGATGGTGGTGATTGCTGTGTGTTGCAGTCTATATAGGTTTGCAGGTGGTTTTGTAGAGTGATGCTTGAGGAAAGTAAATTGTGTTGTATTTGACACATTTATATCTCACACGTGTGAGTAGCAATAGACAAATATAACGATCCCCCGTGTACCATTTAACACACTGTTGGGGCAAGCGTTGTCAGCGAGTAGCACCTACGAAGGCCGGCACGGCACACGAGGTAGCGGGTGGACAGCACCACGACAGACCGCCTTTGTCTTCCCAGCGATGTTTTTTTTTATACACCGCACCAGATAGTCATTTTAAGGCTGAGTGGACCTAGGGGAGGCGCATGATCGGTTCAGATAATCGCGCACAAAGACAAAGATCCCCCGTCAAGCCGTAACAGACTGTTGGGGCAAGTGCTGTTAGCGAGCACCTATGAAGGCCAGAGCGGCACACGAGGGACTGAGTGATCAGCACCACGCCCGGCCGCCTTTGTCTCCCTAGTGGCGATGTCTTACACATCGTGACCAGGTACTCATTTGAGTCTGAGTCGATCTAGTGGAGGCCCAGGACCGGTTCAGATAATCATCACTGTCGGGTCGCCAGGTTCGTATCGCAGCACGCTAACCGCTACACTACCGATCCCCACACACATACACAAGGAACAGTCCGGAAGCAATACCTCCAATATTTTTGAACTGATAAGAAAAACAAGAGTGTAGATATTAATTCTCGAGAATGTTGTGAATGTCGTGAAACGTCATTTATCAGATGGCAAAAGCCAGTCTCGTAACACAACAACGTCAGACCACACGCGAGCTGACGACAGCAGTAGCATTGACCACGCAAGGCACCTTTTCACATCTCAAACCACCTGCTCGGCTCTTTTGAAACACGGCCTGCGCGTGTGTGACTCCCTCGGGAGAACGACCTGCCCCACGGTTGTTCCTCGGCTCAAGTCCTGATTTCACTGATTTCGTTTTATTTATTGAGTCTGTGGAGCCAAGCTGCGCCAGGATTGGGCAAAACCGAGGCCCCATCTTTTTACCCAAGGCGCTAACTGGAGGGCAGAGACTGAGTGTTGCTAAGCTAACTTTTAAAACTAACAAGAACATATTAAAGAATCACAAGTAAGATACAAACGATACATACGATTAAAAAGGAGAATTAAATAACGTTTATTTATTTGAAATCTCGTCCATAGTCCACAAACTGTTCCAGAGGCAGGATCTCAATTATCATGACACATCTAGACTCTAATGCACACGTATACAGTATAGTACGAGTTAAACTGTTACATTTAATTAAAGTACTGCGGAGAAAATCGAAGGCATTGCTTGGTGAATGGTGCAGTGGACCAACATAAATACACTAATTTCTTCACACCAAAAATCTCGTTAATTTTAGTCCATCAGCCCACTGCTGATGGTCTAGGTTATACCCGCAATATTCGTTCAAGTAAGCACATTCTGGACCGGTTTTTCCATTTTGGGGCCTCATCAGCAGTGATAGTATTCACCCACTGTCGAGGAGAATAAACCAAACTCCGCTCATCCTTGCAGCAGCAGCAACTTTTGGCTCAGCCATCGAACAAAGACGTTGACTGCATCGTGCGCTTTCAGATGCGCTTCTGCGGCCCGTCTGGAACGATCTTCCTTCCGATGCGAGGAAGCCACTGGAGCTATGCACTTTTAAATCATCTAGAATTGACAAACTAATTTCTTTGCAACTGCTTTGTGTGTTTAGCTTGTTGTTCTTCGGCCGTGCCTCCGATGAGCAGGGTTGGTTACGTACGGTGCGAGAGAAGTTCAACAAACATACGTCAGGCTTGTTGAATAAATACAGCTGCGTAGCCCACCATACTTCACTCCGCTGGTCAGTGCGGGTTGTCGAAAGGAACTTGGGGGGGGGAGCGCAGAATCTGTTCAGATATCGCTTACCACTGATGTTAGCCGTGGTCGGGCTTGGTCATGAATATCAGTTCGCAGGGTTCATAGCGCAAGACATATATATGAATTTACATATCTATATACAACCAGAATATGTTTTTTTTGTATTCCTAGACCAGGGGGGTGGCCAACCAAAATAACAAGAGAGAGCCAAACTTTTCAAATTCGCGATAAAAAAAAGAATCTCAATATTTCCAGAGCCGCAATGCAGCGTGAATAACGAGTGACGAAGCAGCCCGTTAAAGAACCGCGTGCGCATTCGGAGCCGCAGGTTGCCGGCCCCCTGCACGAGACTGACAATGTTCTCTGGTTCTTTCTGTAAAGTCACGTAGATAGAAAAAATAAAAATATAAAAATAAAGTGATTAAAATATCACGACGTTTCGATCGCAACACAAGCGGTCGTTATCAGGAACAGCTGATTTTTATTTTTTCTATCTACGTGACTTTACCGAAAGAACTATAGAATATTAATTCCTGCAGTCACGAAAGTTTTAAGTCGAGACTGACAATGCCTCTCATCGGAACCCCAGGTGAGAAATCGTGCTGACCGAGCCGGGCGTTCCGTTTGTGTGTGTGTCTATGCGGTGGGTGCCCATGTGCTCCGAGCGATACGAAATGTCGAATTTAGTATTTACGAGCACGACAGACCCACGGGTACATTTGCTGTCAATGTTGTTCTAAATGATGTCCGTGATAAGTTTTACCTTTAGAGAAAACTAAGATCACCTTCAGGTGTGTTATGCTGTCACCGGAATAACCATCTCTGAGCCCGTCAACTGCCCACATACATGTGCATATATATGTGTTTGTGCTTATACCATTAATTGTAGGCGTGTTATAAATACGTGACTGTGTAACTACGTGAGTGTGTACATGCCGAGTGCGTTTGCGCTCGCGAACAGCACTTGCCCCAACAGTCTCTATGTGGCTAAACAGGGTAGCTGTGTATATGTTTTATTATATATATAAAGTACAGATTTCCTTCGCTTTATGCTGGTTAGGTTTGTGCGATTTTGCATAAAATGCGGCTAAAATATTTCTACCCAAGAATTCGCTTCATGCGGTTTGAATTCACTCTACATGCGGCTACACGGTTGAGACGTGGGACAACATTGTGTGTGTACTGTGTGTGTGTACTGTGTGTGTATATGTGTGTGCTGTGTGTGTACTGTGTGTGTATTGTGTGTACTGTGTGTGTAGTGTGTGTGTACTGTGTGTGTGCTGTGTGTGTACTGTGTGTGTACTGTGTGTGTACTGTGTGTGTAGTGTGTGTGTGTACTGCGTGTGTGTACTGTGTGTGTACTGTGTGTGTATTGTGTGTACTGTGTGTGTGTGTAGTGTATGTGTACTGTGTGTGTACTGTGTGTGTACTGTGTGTGTGCTGTGTGTGTGTAGTGTGTGTGTAGTGTGTATGTACTGTGTGTGTGTACTGTGTGTGTACTGTGTGTGTGCTGTGTGTGTACTGTGTGTGTGTATTGTGTGTACTGTGTGTGTAGTGTGTGTGTACTGTGTGTGTACTGTATGTGTGCTGTGTGTGTACTGTGTGTGTACTGTGTGTGTACTGTGTGTGTACTGTGTGTGTATTGTGTGTACTGTGTGTGTATTGTGTGTACTGTGTGTGTGTAGTGTGTGTGTGTACTGTGTGTGTACTCTGTGTGTGCTGTGTGTGTGTAGTGTGTGTGTGTACTGTGTGTGTGTACTGTGTGTGTACTGTGTGTGTGCTGTGTGTGTACTGTGTGTGTGTATTGTGTGTACTGTGTGTGTAGTGTGTGTGTACTGTGTGTGTACTGTGTGTGTACTGTGTGTGTGTAGTGTGTGTACTGTGTGTGTACTGTGTGTGTGTATTGTGTGTACTGTGTGTGTGCTGTGTGTGTACTGTGTGTGTGCTGTGTGTGTACTGTGTGTGTACTGTGTGTGTATTGTGTGTACTGTGTGTGTATTGTGTGTACTGTGTGTGTGTAGTGTGTGTGTGTACTGTGTGTGTACTCTGTGTGTGCTGTGTGTGTGTAGTGTGTGTGTGTACTGTGTGTGTGTACTGTGTGTGTACTGTGTGTGTGCTGTGTGTGTACTGTGTGTGTGTATTGTGTGTACTGTGTGTGTAGTGTGTGTGTACTGTGTGTGTACTGTGTGTGTACTGTGTGTGTGTAGTGTGTGTACTGTGTGTGTACTGTGTGTGTGTATTGTGTGTACTGTGTGTGTGCTGTGTGTGTACTGTGTGTGTGCTGTGTGTGTACCGTAAAGGCACTACTTCTGAGGCGGCGGTTTTTCTTGTTGCCCTTACTTTTTTTTAAACGCATCTACCGCATAAAGCGAGGGAACCCTGTATGCATGTTCATAGCGATGCTGCTGCCGCGGTGTTAAACGGTGAGCAGCAGCAACATTGTACCTGCAAATCCAGAGGTCGCCGGTTCGATCTCCAGGCGCGGCAGGTGTAAACAATGGGCGAGTAACTTAAATGACCCCCCCCCCCACCACCTTCCTCCCCCACTGCCCACCCAGCAACATAGCTGGGTTCACACCACGCTCAGTCGACCTGCTATGTTGCTGGGTTCACACCACGCTCAGTCGACCTACAGGTCGCCTGTGGATGGGGTAAAGTGTGGGCGCTCACACCTCTTCCAAGACTTACTGACCAGCATGGAAGAGTAGGCCAAACACCACTCTAGAGCCCCCTCTCTAGAACCCGCCCCCCTCTAGAGCCCCCTCTTTAGACCCCCCGCCCTTCTAGAGGTCCCTTCCAACAGCAGTGACGTGACCAAGTAATTGCAGGGCTGCGCCTATACCCTGTCTCACACCTCGGCCAGATTTGCGTGTTGCATGGCGAAATGACATTTTCGTGCGATTATCTAAAAAAAAAGTATATATGTAACAATAATAATAAATCATGGCAACCATACAATTACCACGCTGGTCAGAGCGGGTTAATGAAGGAATTGAAAGAAATTGCCGAACATTTGTGTGGCGTGGCGTGATTGTGTGTGGCGTGATGTCCTTTTGGCAAGATGTGACTCTATCCCGTGGTCTTGCCGAATCTCGCGCGTGTTGGAAATCTCACCCGTATTTAAATAATTCTATAACGTGGATTCATTAAAGAGCATTATTTAATTTCACACTCGTGTTTGACTCGGTTCATATGGAGGCTTTCGTGCGTTGTGCAATGGGAGATCACTCTCGTTACGGTCAGAATCAGAATATGTATTTGTACTGGAGGAATCCGATGAGCTCTAAAGCTCATTTTCATAGATGTCTAGTAGGGGTGGGTAAGAAAGTTACAACAACAAACAATACAAGCAGACGATAGGAGTGCAAC